GGCCTAGGTGAATTCTATTCAAAACCCTTCCACTCTTTCTTATTTTCTATCTCCTTCGTACTTTTATGATATTTACTTAAAATCTGATTATCTGTCCACTTCACCTTTAGTGCTACGTAACTTTTAAATTTGACCTAATTTATTTATTGAATTGTCTACATATACACATATTGCTACCTTTGTTATTGTTATCGCCACCTGCATAAACCTTATTATCAATATTTTGTTATATATGTCCAAACCAAGTTCACTTTTAACAGTTTGAAAAAATTTGGGCATTGGGTATATGATATTTATTATAATAATAAAGGTTTTTATAGTTCCCAATGAATGAAAAACAATATCGTTTTGTTTTTCATTCATTGGGAAATACAAAAATCTTCATTAATAATTTGTTATCATTATAATCATCGTTATTAACTACGTTCAAAACATTTATCACATTATTATTATTATCAGTATTATTATTTGATCCACAAAATCACCGTCATTGGTTAATATTTTTATATATAAATCTATGTTAATTAGAGTGAAGCCTGAAGATCTAATTGAAAAGAAATTGTTCGCTTATATGTCTTTTTCTAATAAAAAAATAATAATAATAGTAACGAAGTTAGTTTGGACGTGCAAATACATACAAGTATTTTGATAAGATCGCACTGGAAGGATTTTACGAACAATTATGTCATTAAGCAAGTCAGCGAAATACCTCTTTGCAGTTTAAGACAACTTCTAATGCACTCTGTCATGATTGCATCTCTTACTTCTCGGATTTAGGACTTGCAACAGTACACCCGCACAACACCTCACTAGCCGACATCTATAGGTCGTCATATCTGTCAAGAGGGCAAGTTCCTTGCGTATCCCATCTGTTGTTAAATCATCATTCTCTCTCAACAGCAGCAGGAGGGAATTGGGCATTAAAGCTGGGTTATATCTATCATTCAGCGTCATTGACACCACGGAGCGATTATTCACAATCCTTCCGGATTCTGCAAACTAGGTCGCTGAAGTGTCATCCTGCAAACCCTGTTCCATAGATGTCATTTACTCCAGCCTGCGAACAGAGTGTATCATGCTTCCTCATATCCCACCATTTCAGCCAAATATTGGACGATTCGAACGTGATTGTACACACTCGAAAGTCATAAAGTCTTTTGTTGTCTGCTTATTACACACGTCGATACAGAATCGTAACTTGGACAACGCTACGAAGAAAATCGAAGTTATTGTCACTGCAGATTTCGTTTCATGTTTCCTCTCTTCGTGTCACAAGGAGAAACACCAAATACTATTTATCGCTGTCTAAGCCTCATTATCTTCACAACGAGATACACTTTTGTTTGAAGAATCTCTGCATAAGATTTACAGTTAACTTATAAGGATTTCAGTCGACGCTTCATTGAGAGGTGATTGAGGACAGAATATCTGGTTAGTCGAGACAATGTCGACATCTGAATTGTGTACAAACGACCGATACGTAAGAAGAGTAGACTTCAACGCCAGTGCTCGCCTCGGCTCTAATGCAAAGCATTTCTAGAAGACAGAAATACGGTCTCATATTAGATGGGTGAATTCCGCCTATTTCCTAAGTTGAAGACATAAGTGTAAGTGGGAAGATACACTGAGGTCCTGTTTCCTCCAACAAACTAACTCAGACTTCTTGTATGAGCTGACTGAAATCGGTATATCTCATTCAGCATGTCGAAACGACACTACTCTTTCAGTAATTACGTGATCGACAGCCTTCTTATCATTCGAATTAATCCATCACAACACAGTTGAAAAAATGCTCAAAGTGTCTTTTTTCATGATAATTTTGAGAGTGATATTCAGGGTAACAAAATATAATTTGAAAATCCATTCGTCACTGAGAAGAAATCGACTTATGTAAAACAATCACAAATTCATGTTTATTCATATTTATATCGCTTTGTGTATAGGTAAACATGAAACATTACACCAGAACACGTAGCAGTGCCTCTGAGTTCTAATGTTACATGAAATGAAATAGTAGGCTGTCAAAAAATCATTGGTTCACAAATTTCATGTCAGAGAAGACTTATGATGGGCGTTTAGCCTGGAGTAGATTAGGATTATATGTTATAATGGATGAAGTTTATCATTAGGGCCTAAATTAAGGACAAAATTTCTCCTTAATATGAGGTTCGGTTGTCACAAGGATTTCGGCAAGCACGTTCGCCTTGATCATCATTCCTCAATGCTGATAAATGCTGTAATATCATAAATAAATTTGTTGAGGATTCGTGGTAGTTGTTTTGATCGAAATCGTTGTCGAATACAGAGTGTGCATGTGTAAACGACACGGTCGTAGAATGTTGGTCAGGTGGTAGACCGCTAATTTGATCGAAGTGGGTGGACAGTTCCCTCGAATAGTTGATGGAATCACATTACTTTTTTTGGACGTGGGGAGAGTCTACAAAGATGAGAAGTTATTTAATAATTTCATAGCAGGTGACAAGAATTGTGTAGTTTAATAATTAGGACGTCTAATCTGAACGCTTTCTTGTCGAGTGGGGTTAGTTTCATGCATTTCACTATTATATACCTTCAAAAATATTTTACTTGTTTGTTCATGTGTTATACCTGATAAAAATGTTAGCATTACACACATCCAAAGTGATGTGCAATAAGAAAAATTCTCAGAATTTGTGTGTGTATGCGTGGTATGTATTTTGTGGCGATTTAGAAGATTTGTAGATTTCCTTTATGAAATTTTGACTAAAGTTGCTTGCAATTAGTGAAACTGAAAACAGTTGTAGGCTGTTTAGGCTGTGAATAAAATGTGTGCTGATAAAACTATGATAGCATAAATGAAAACTCTCTGAAGCGAGTGAAGAACGTGCCTGCCATGCTGTTTTTGTCAGTCGATGTCCTCAAGTCAGTCTCGATTATTATTTCTTTAAGGAAAATTGGGTTTGTCAAATGCGAAGAAAAGTTCTTTAGAGAAGAGGTTCTTTCCAGTGATTTCCTTTTTCCAGCTGTGCAACTGCATTTACGCACAACATTTTCACAAGAGAGGGAAGTGACGAAGGTGATAAGTTGTCATAATCACAATAGCAATTATTGATCAGTATAAAAATGAAGTTTAATGAGGGTATGTAGTAATACAAATAATATGATGAATTTTTCATGTTCAGGATGCACATGGAAACGAGGGAAATTTTGAGAATACGTAGGATTTTGATAGAAAAAAGAGGTAGAGTGATTAAAAAGAATTAATTTCGAAGAAAACCACAGGATCACTAGAATCATAGTAGCTATGGTAGGACAGTTCTCTTATGTAAACACAGCTCAATGTCTACAGATTCAGAAATGTAAAGAAGATGTAGGCTACTTATGTGACGTAGCTCTTCCATCTATAGGTAACTTTGAAGGAGTCGTTCGTTTGGATAGTATGGTCACTGTCGACAAAGTGTACAACTATTCCATTCCTTATAGACCAGCTGCTACCTTTGTGCAGTCATGCCAGTTTGTGTTTTTGAACGCTGTCAGACAGCCATTGTAACTGGTTCTACAGAAATAATTGAATTAATATATGCACATAGAAGTGGTCATATTGGAGGCTTGAAAGACGAGGTCTCACAGCGACATAACAATCTCTGAATGTGCATAAGAGGTAGATTATTACAAGTTCACATTGGATTCATTGTCCACTGAACATCCATCACTCACCTTATGCTCGTTCAAATCGGCGTTTGCGTATAATTCTATCATTAAAACTAGAGATTAATTTCGGTTAAAGAAGCTATAATTATTTGTTATTGTCCAAGACATCAATGTGTCTCACGCATATTACAAGTAAACGGGTTAATGAATGGTAACACATTGTACTTTCAATAGTTATTGCAATTTTAGGCGGCAAGAATCAACAGTTAATGTCTGACGTAACTTAACATTTCAAACCTGGAAAAGATGATCAAACACTTCATTTCAAATCCACTTTTTCATAATCATGACAGCTTCTAGTTCTGTAGCTTCAATCTTCAATCGAACACTAGTGAATATGCAATTCATCTCATAGCACACACACTGCTTCACAGTTACTGAATGTCCTTTGAGTTGATGACTAACAGAAAGTAACCTTATCACAAAATCATCAACTGAACTTCCCTCAGCTTTCACCTTGCATCTCCTCAGGTAGAACAAGGAGTAACTTCAGAAAACTGTATGCTCGCATGTCTAAGTATAAAAATCCTATGATACTATACTTTGCACGTATTTTTAAGTGATGAAAATAGCGTCAGGCAAGAATTGACTAACTTTTTTTCATTTAGTAAATAAACAATCTCCTCCATCCATCTTTATATACCTTCAAGTTTTACTTTTATTATTTCTACTATATTTATGGTCCTGTTGCTTCTTTGTTTTCACTTTCATAACTGCAAACACCAACTTATCTCTATGACTGCTGTAATCATTGTTTTTTCCCTCACCATATGATGTAAAGAGAACATTATATTCAATATTTTTAATCATGCAAGGATTTATATACCGCATTGACAATACTGTGTGAAACAAGCCTACGGCAATTTCCACTTGTATTATTATCATTACCTTAGCTGCTATCATTATTATTATTTCCATAATATATGCTGCATTTTTGTTTTTACATTACGCCTATTGTAAATGTAGAAAAATTTTCTGTTTGATTAACTGTATTTGTAACTGAGGAAATTAGATGCAATATTGTGATTAATGCTGAAAATCCCATTCTCTATCATAAGTAAAGTAATAAAGTAAATCATTATTATTATTATTTCATCAAACGTCGGTGACAGAGAGTATTTGCTGTCAATGAAACACTGATGAAAGCTTTTCAGGTGACTTTGTTCTCAGTGCTTGGCTTTTAACGTCTCGAAGTGTAATTATAACTGAAAATCGAAATTCAACAAGGCTGTTTTGAATTGTTTACTCGAATGTGTGGAATTAATTCATGACGACACCCATTTCTACTTTCTACCTTCTAACGTTTTCAAGCTTGATGCATACTTTGATTCGAATGCGCTTCAAATGAAAAGAAGTTTACTGTACATGATGTATTATCGATTAGTTTTCCACATCTAAATTGGCATCAAAATTATGAGTAGAATGAATTATTTAAGAACGTAGATTTATCGAGTCAAATATGGAACTGGTATTCACACTAATTTCGTTAAAAATTAGGGTTTTCAAAATGCGAAACATAAATATATAGATGACTCTATATTGTGTATGGATAAGAATGTCACTGTGAAAGTGAATTTTTGAATTTATAACGAACAAAAATATGCGTTACACTTGATTGATGGTAATGTCTATAAAAAGTGTAATCCTTCAAATGAACATTTATTTTCTTACAAAGTTATAATGAATCTCATATTTCGAAACGAAAACCAAAAAATTGAAAAGTAATACACAATCGTCACTCATTGATTGTTACAGTTAACCGAAATATATTCAGTAGAGTTTTTGAAAATATTTTGTGATGATGAAAACAAAGAGGGTGAAACAAATCAGCTTGAGATTCCATTTGATCTGTGTTGTTGAATTGCAGAGTTCAGATTCACAGCAGTACATTTCAACATTTGGAATTTTAGGGAGACCTTCACAAGAACCTAGGCATCCTCTTGAAACTACTTTCACTGGTTTTGTCGTGACAGCTTTCTGCAAGGAGAGAATTAATAACATACAAAATAATTCTCAGGTGTGGATTCACTTCTTCGAATGACATAAATATTTACAGGCGTTTATTCCAATGTGAGATGAAAGGGACAGTAGAGATTAGTTTTCCAGTGAACACGTGCTAGGGATGGTTGAGAGAGAAATTAGTAAAATAGTGAATCATCATTCACTGATTCAGGTTATCGAAATGGAAGATATAGATTTATGCTACTTATTAGGTTACTATTTATGAAGTCAACATATTTGTCTGTGAATTCGATTAGTGTGTGGATATTCCAACACACATTACTACTAACTGATGGAAATATCTCTGAAAGTGACTCGCCCAGCACTTTTACAAATCTTCCTGCTTCTCCATGGTTACACTACACACATACCACTCTCTCATGTCAGTCATTTGAGAAGAGTCCCCGAAGTCGTGAGATGAATGGTGTGCATTATTTTACACTGTGAATTTGAGTTCACATTCCCTTGTCATCGTGACTGATGAGAATAGTGCGAGTATCAGTGAGTAAAGGAGGACACTGTCACCACCAGCTAATATCTGATGATGTCAAGTTACACAGTGAACCATTGAAATTGTTTCCTGAATGGATGAAGTCGAATACCATCGGAATTGACATTTCAGTGTATGATAGAGTATTGAATCACTCGTGTTTAATCGGCATGTTTGACGACGAACTTCAAAATAACTAAGACAAATACATTAATGTCATATGAAAGTTATGTACAATGTTATGAATTGAAATGCATATATCTTACAAAACAAGCTCCACAATTTTTCGCTTTCTCGGTGCTGCTGTCCACTTCCTCACAGTTGGCACATTTGTAACATTGTAGCTTTCCTGTGTAGTAGAAAAAGTTAAATTTTGCATTGTGAATTGATTCTATGCAAAATTTGTAACAATAGTTAAGAGAAGAGTGAAGATGTGCTATTACTGATAAGGCATACCGAAATCCCTGTCTATTAGTATCGATTTCATATTATCTTGATGATGTATGCAACATGAATGCAGAATATACGAACGGTGTTGTGTTTTCAGGTAAGAAAGAAGGAGCATAAATAATTACGCGACGTCAATGTTCACCTGAATGATTTAAAAAATAATCACCATATTTATTCTCAAGCATTGGCATATTGCATCTGTAATTTACACATAAATAACGTGTGATTCATATTTCCACTATAAACACAGAGAAATATTGACTTCATTTTCTCTATCTCAAATTTTCCACTGGTGTTAACACGATCGTCTTCAAAATGCCAATTTCAATCCTATTCCTAAAGTAATCCAACTGTTGATTATATGTGCACAGTGGGAACTCGAATAATTCATTCACGCCTATCATTCACCTATGTTAATTCAATTTCAAAGTGAGATGTGAGCAAGTTAGAAGTGAATTCGAAAAATTAATTAAATAAATACGAAAACAAAAGTTACCGAGATGGAAGACTTGTGACAGCATCATTCTCACTTGAGTTCCTAAATTCTCCTCACTAGCTGAAACTAAAAATCAAGTGGTAATAAATATTAAAATTTTATGAATATTATTTTCCAGAAATCAGTAAAAGTTGAAATAATTCACACACACTCACACTTAACTCTTATTGACTCATTTGTGATCCCCACTTAAATGTAACACAGCTTCTCAAAATCTATCCTGTCTGTTGATGGGATTCGTCGCTCTTCCAGTATAAAGAACATTACCATCATGTTTACATTACATAATGTCAACCATGTCTTGTAAAATATGCATGTTTCTCGTCTATCGAATTCGTTGAATAACCATTTACTTGAAAGTTGCGTTTAAAAACTTTGGTGGAAAGTTCAAATCAATCAATATGGTGGTGATATAGAGTTTCTGCTTACTATTCTCGTTTGTTGTCCAATATCAACATTGCATCTGTTATTACTGCGGTAAATAACAGATTTCGAATAATCCATTTTGAACTACATATTGTGAGTATATGTAACCCTCGTGGAACACAAGATATGACAAACATTACACATGGAATGATTATATTTAATAACTACTGTGGAAAATTTCTCCACTGGAATTCAAAAACATTACTTTATGTGTCTGCTACAGATTTGACATATCTGTCTTCATCCCATTTCAACAATCGAATCACACCTCGACGGATTTTACGCTGTAACTTACCATGTGTTAGAAAATGATTAGAAATAAAGATCATTCTATACCAGTTAACATGATATCGAATCCTAGTACACTGTTAAGTCTATATACAACAAATATGGAATGATGCATTTTGAAGCACATATTCTGAGCGCAAATAACTCTCAACCAACACAAGATATTGCACATACGTTTCTATGCACATTTCGTGCACACTGAACTAGGTTCTGCTGTGACATTTACACAATATACAGAATGTGTCTTCTACATGTTCAGAGCTTCGTGTTCGTTGCATTTCACCATTCGACATGTGTGTCGAATGGAGCCATTTCACTGATTCTCATCCCTGATGAAATGATTACGAGTAGAAGTCATTTCATACTGGTCAGTGTGAAATGGAGTCATAATTCACTATTCCGTAAACCTTGTGAATTCTTGTCTACCTTGATGTCGATTCCACTTGTGTCCTCATTCAAATCCACCACCACTTGTGTTTAACAAATTACAGAGAAAGGTGAAGATGAAGTACTCTAGAGTCAATTTAGAAATAAGGGAATCACATTGACCAGAAGGTTGTATTGATTATGACTAGAGGAGGTGTCGACCACAAGTGATTTATTCGCCAGGATCATTGATGTGGTCACAAGTGAAATTCAACGTGACTAATTCAAGAGCGACATTGACATTACAGTCAATAAAAAAGAAGCTCGGTGTATCACTTTGGTTTACTCTGGCTCCAAAATGGTGCAGCCCCTGCAGATTTTATGGATAACCAAAAATATACAAGCCAGAAGTTCCATTATGTCTTGTTGTCAATTTTACTAATTCCTCAACCTACAAACTCTCTAAATACATTTGTCGAATACTTAGCCCATATGAAATGAAAGTGGGACATGGAGTGAACAATTCGTATGAATTTAAGAGAAAATTCAACTTGACTTATATTGAAGAAGATAAATTTTATTCATTATTCACGAATGTTCCCGTTAATGATTCCTTAAGTGTTTTTTATAATTTACTTTGTTCTGACAACGAACTCAGTAGTCGTCGTCCTTTAAATACGGACGAAATTATGAAGTCATTGGAATTGTTTCTACTTTCCATGTTATTTACCTTTAGAAGGGTTCTTTACAGTAAAACAGAAGCCATTGCTATGGGATCACCACTATCCCTGTTGGTCGACAGTCTGTTTATGCACTCATTGGAAACAAACATTGGAATTCTGAGATGCTCTAGTCCTCCAAAAGTGTGGTTATGATACGTGGATGATGCCTTCGTCATAATCAGACGTAGTTTGTTGAATGAACGTTTTCACTTCATTAACAATATGTCAAAAACCATCAAGTTTTCCAAAGAGGTTGAATCCGACGAGAATGATTCGGTGTTCCTGGACTGTTTAGTACAAAGAAAACTAGATGGTAAATTTTAAATAAACATTTTCAGGAAGCCGACAAATTCGGATAGACACCTAGACTACTATTCAGCACACCCCCTTTTACCACCAAAGTAACTGTTGCCAAAAATCTAATTAACAAAGACAAATGGCTAGTCACTGATGAGGAAGAGATAAGCAAGGAATTAGAATTGGTTCAATCCATTCTTGAATCATATAATTATCCTAAAGCCTTCATAAATAGATATTTAAAATGTGAAGATAAGGATGGATCGGAACCTGTTGCCAAGAAGTGGATTAGTACAGTGGTGATTCCTTACCTCAAAGAGGCATCCAATGAGATAAAGCGAATCCTTTACGATAATAACATAAGAGTGTATTTTCGTGCAACTTACATCTTACGCTCATCACTGGTGAAGGTTGAGGATCAGGTAGAAGAAGGAAACCAGCAGAATTGTGTGTACTAGATCAACTGTGGGGATTGTGACGCCATATATGTAGGAGAAACTTTCAGACAGGTAAATATGAGAGTGAAAGAGCATAAACAATGTCTAAAGTTGGTTCCAAAGACCTCTGGAGACTGAAAGTAGCTAGAAAACAGATCAGCGATTGCACAGTATTCGATAGAAACGGGACGAAAAATCAACTTTGATAGGACTAAGTTTCTACAGAAAAGTTTTGGTTCGTATAAAGAACGACTGACTGCGGAAGCCCTACATATATGGGTGAATCCCAACAGTTTGAACAGACGTGAAGGTGTGATGTTAGCTGGAGTATGGGAAATCCTGATTAATAAATAAAAATTGGATATGTATCAATAATTAATCATACTTTGTCAAAATTCCCGATTGTCTATTTTTTTTATGGAGAGGCTTACAAATCTTTTATGACTGTTTACCCATGCGCATATACACTCACCATTTCATACTGCATAAACACATATATTTTCATATTGAATTATCTACGGCCATAAACTTTTTGTTTAGCGTAATCTGATAAAAAGTACACGCCTAAAAATTTGGGCATTGGGTATATGATATTCATTATAATAAAGGCTTTTGTATTTCCCACTGAATGAAAAACAAAACGAAATTGTTTTTATCAAAAACACTTTGGTAAAGCTACTTTCATTGAATAGCGAAACTTCAGTAAAAACAATATCGTTGTGTTTTTCATTCATTGGGAAATACAAAAACCTTTATTATAATGAATCGGACGTCGGTGAACTACCATTTCTAGACTGCCTGGTTTAGAGAAGGGAAAGCGGACATTTTAGTATATCCATATTCAGGAAGAAAACCCACTCCAATAAATATTTAGACTTCAAATCATCACACCCCATCAGCGCAAAGATTTCAGTTGTTCCAAGTCTTCTTAGACGAGCACACTCTCTGATAACCAACGAGAAAGAAAAAGAAGAAGAAATATCAAACATTAATGAAACTTTCAAGCAAAACAGCTATCCAAGGGAATTCATCAACAGAATCAAAACAGACATTAAGTATGGCCGAAAACATGGACCTCGACAGTCATCATTCCACATAGATCAGAGACGTCAGATGATATCAGAAGAGTACTCAGTCAGCTCGACATTATAGTTTTCTTCAAAACATCAGACACACTATGAAATAACCTTGTCCATATAAAAGACCAGATCCCTAAAGATTCTCTATCTAATTGTGTCTATAAAATAAAATGCTTGGAATGTGATGCTATATACATCAGACAAACATCTCGAGAAATCAAAATCAGAATAAATGAACACCGTAGAGCATCTGTCCGACCACCAAGAAATCCAATTAAACTAGAAAAACTTGAAAAATCATCAGCCATAGGTCTACATGCTATAGAATCAGGTCACAAAATTGATTCTGACAATATTGAAACAATCCTGAAAAACTTCAGAAATCACAAAGAACGTCTAATATCAGAAGCACTTCATATCAAGTGGAATCCAAATTGTCTGAATAGGAATGATGGACTAAAACAGAATCTGACCTGGTTACAACACCTCCCTCCCCCATGAAGTGACAAAATCAACACGAATGTGATATGCAAGTTCACTATGTAAACACACACTGCCTTTATAATTTTAAACACTGATCAAATCCAACGATCCACACTTGATTTTGTTATCTTTACCAATTGACCAACTCGACAACGAAAAATGACCCCAGACAGACGAACGACAATCAAGTTAGTAAACTTTGTTTTGATACCATAACAGATGTACTAATACCTTTGTTATTTGGTTTAGTGATCTTCATTGTTATTTTAGCTTCCGATATGTCCTTTTAACTTGACCTAAGTCTATTTTCTCACCCCCTAGCTCTTTGTTATATATATGTTGAGATTTTGTAGATTCCGGTTTAATAATAATTTGATGAAGAAAGCTAATAGCATTAAATAGCGAAACGTCAGTAAAAACAATATTGTTTCGTTTTTCATTCATTGGGGAATACAATAAACCCTTATTAAAACGTAGACTAATTTTGAAAGTCTGAGGTCACATTTTGATCACACTTCATACAATTTCGTTTATTATACATGTTGATACCTGTTTCATGACTCATATGACTGGACGAAATTTCTTAAAAGCATGAGATGTTCTTCTATATATAAACCTCTGTTACGTAAATTTCGATTACTCTCTCTGAAGAAGTTAGGGCCAGATTGCCGAACGAAACGTTAGAATTAATCGTTTCAATTTCGCTGACATCTTACAAATATAAATTTCTTACAAATGAAATATACACATATCAAATAAACTTATTAGATATGAAATAAAACGACTCGTCAAGATGTGATTAGACTTACCTGATTCCACATGTGAGGTGATCACTACAAACAGGAATACCGAGAGAGCCAGCATCACTGATTTACAACGCACAATTTGAATTCTTATTATTGATATGGGGTTTATTCCACACACATTCAGCTCTTATATACTTTCTGAAATCTGCTACTTCAACTATTTGTTAATGTGTTAAATATTATACGAATGTTAGTATTACGCATACGTAAAATGATGTGCAACACTGATTTATCAATGCGTATATGTCTGTATGCATTTTCCAATACCATTTTCACTTTATAGATTTTCTCTTTCGAAATCCATTCTTTTTCATGCATATTTTGATAGTGAAAATATGTGGAATCAATTTTCATTGAGTGATGCAACCTACAGTGGCATAGCTACTATACCACGGGTAGCAATATCACAGAGTAGTGATTCAAATTACCTCCTGATAAGAATTGAAACGCATTTCCATTTCTTGCCGAAAGCCTATTTCTCACTGTGATGCATTTATTTGAGAGCACATAGTCATTAAAGTCGACTGTGTATCGAAAGTTAGGACTTCCAACCGACTCCTAAAATTACTGAGAAAAATAAATTTGAACCAATCCAACGTGGACTGTAACTATCTGTAACTATTATACCACACACATTCATAAAACTGAAGAATCTACAAAGGGTTTACATGTGCTCATGTCACCTATAAAATTTCCACTAAATGTTTCCTATCAACTGTGATTATATAACTTGAAAACACTTAGTTAATTACGCTACCTGTATAATGGAAGTTTGTACATTCCACTGACGTCAAATGTAAACATTTCTATGTTAATACGGATATAACTGGCTGATTCTCAAACAGACAACAGTACACCTCCTATCCAGCGATTACTTTTGCACTTATACCGAAAGTTTCAGAAGCCAGAAATGCAATCTCAGATCAAATGGGTGAATTTCCTCCATTTGCTACAATGGCAATGTGAAACTAACGGCACTTTATTTTTGTGTCCTCCACCTAATTAACTGTGATCACCATCAGATTCTCAATGATAAAAAGCGGTTTAAGGTTTCCGAGATAATTTTATTTTATGATTTAGGTAGTTCAAGAAGGCAAAATGAGCAGTTAATCCCAAAAAATATTTCAAGTATTGGTTTTTTAGGGTACTACAGGTTGATGGTGAGGCAGTAACTCATTAAAGTATACATTTCGAAGTGGTCATGGTATGTCATGAATTGGCAGAAGTTAGGATTCATGGGCCATTGAGTAGGGTCTCAGTGGCCTAATGGTTTACGAGCTGGCTCGCCTTCTAACCAGAAGATCCTGGGTTCAAACCCGTGTGATGGGTGAGTACTGATGAAGAGTCTCAAGGTGCTAGGACGAAACAGCTTTCAAGTACTCCCAGCTGGTTTTCCAATGGTTCTCTAAGTGATGTCAGCTCATGATGAAATCCCTTAACCAATACAAGTAAAAGTTTGTAATTTCAATTTTTTTGTCGAATTCATCAGAACTGTAGATAGTGATGTGAAGAATCAAATAAACAAATATTTTGTATCATATCACTTAGACAAGCTATTTCTGATAAACTTTTCCGACTTCTTTCTTTGTATCTGGCTTTCTCAGTCTGCGTATGCATAACATTCTCATAACTTCACATTCAAAGCAGTGACGATGCGTCATTCACATAGTATTTACTCAAATCAGAGTCCATCTAATTTTCCATTGAGAACACTACAACATGATGTGAATTTCACAGGTGGTCAGGGACTCATTCTTCCTTTTGGAGTATGTCACACTACATTATTACAGACAGACAACAATGGATGAAATCAAATATTACTGATTTAACATTTTGACGTGATGTAGCTCTAGATGAATGGCATAAAATTTAATAAATCTTCTGTGTCACAATTTTGTGGGAAATGGCTGTTCAACGAACAGTGGCAAAACATTTCATAAACCCAAGAATTATTCAGTATCTGAATAACACATACACACACAAACTCATAATAAATAACACCCATTGGCACTGTAGAAATAGTGATTAGTGATATTGTTCAAGACTTCAACGTTTGGTGTACATTTTAAAAATACACTATACCATGATGTATTATATACCACTGTTCTACTTCAACATTCTGCACAATCATTATGCCCAGAATTTGCAAATGGCATTTTCAGAATAAAGCTGTCATGCTGATAATTTTCAAGAGTTGATTTGTAAAGGTTAGGTTTGTTTTTCGAGTTTGACCACGAATTGATATCAGTTGGAGAACGACTGAAAACCAGGGAATACTGGACAGCTGTTTCATCCTGGCTTGGGCATCATCAGCAGTGCGCATCCAGTGTGGTTCAAACCCAGGACCTTCCAATTACAAGGCAAGCTCGTATACCATTCAGCCACTGGGACCCAATTCAATAGTTCATGAATTCTAACTTCTACTCACACTTGAATGGATGGACCTCGATGGTCACAACTCCTCAAACTTCCTAAACTAGGATGAAACAGCTGTCCAGTACTCTCCGGTTTTAAATGGTTCTCTAATTGATATCAATCCGTGGTCAAACTCGAAATACTGATAATTATTATTTCTATTATTTAGTAAAGTACTATCACGCTGAAACTTCCATTTGAAATGGATGAAAATAGCCGAATTTTCATTGATCATTTGAAAAAGCTACGTGGAATGATGAATAGATTCGCATTATTTCTAGATTAAAAATTGCGGACTAAAGAGAGTTTCGCTTTCAAGAGGATATTTTCTGTGGCATCAACACCGAAATAGTCAGTGCAATGAATTATTTCAGGAATTAACTTTATACCTATATATATATATATATATTGATTCGTTTTATTATTTTAATTTTCCAAATATTTTTATGGTTCTTTTGCATAACAAAAGGAATATTTATTGTTTAAATTATAAGTAGTATATGATAATGTGAATTTGAGTTATCCGAATTTATTTTTTTGAAAAATCTTATAGGGTCTTTTGACTTATTTGTTATGCATGAATGAATAGCGTCGAATTTACATTTTTAAATGTTATTGACAAAATGCACAACATAATCGTCAACATAATGGGTAAAATTTATTTTGATAAAGTCTCACCGTGTTGCACACCCATAATGGAATCATACTCTACCACAGTGCACAAGTTCTATTCTTATATAATCGTAAACAGATTCTATTTTCAGTGTTATTGTTGTTTTCATCGACGTATCTATGTTTTGGCTTTGATTTTAAGAGAATCATGTGTTTCACGACCTTGACAGGAAAACGTATCTGTATGTGACAGGAAAAGTGCATAATGTATATTGAATGTTAATAATGATTTAGAATTATTTGGTTCTTCTGATGCTTTAGGTAACAATCAGCTTGATGCTGTTTCACTAATTCTAAATGTTTTCGGAGTCAGTCTTGTTTTAATAATCGTCTTTATTTGTTGACGGTGATTTCAACAGAACATTTTACTGTACAATCAAAATGCAGAAATTAAATGTCATATGACAGGGAATTCCATACTGTACCAAATACACCGATTGGAATGCAGTCATCACTATTTTAATGAAAATTTTCAAGAAGTATTCAGTAATACTGATTCTTTTGAAGGTTTTCAAGCTTTTGACATCACAGAGAGTGACTGACAGAAAATAGACCCACCGATGATATTACTTCATACTTAGCGAAATGAAATCCCTTACATATATAAATGTCCCTTGTATTTTGTAGGTCGTCAGTGGATTGTACAGTTTGATTTGTATGCAAATGACCAATGCTTATCAAGTACGATATAAAATTTGCATTCATAGTTTTTCGTTCAACTTAACTTTCATAAAAAGCCACACATTAGTTTCGATTTTTATCATGTTTGGTAGCTCGTCGTGTCTGAATGATACAACAATGAAAAATCAGTTTTATTTGAAGGTTTTATAACAGTTAGTTTACATTTCATCAGATTGATGGTATTTCCTATGGAAAAATAAGTCTTACTTCTTTCGAAGATGTATTTCCATATGAAGTAACAATGAATATTCAATTGTGAAGGGGAAAACTATAAAACATAATGGTTACTCATTAAATGTAAGAGTTAACTGACATACACAAAAATAATAAAATAATTGTTAAACTTTATAAATAGATTTAGTGGTGATGAAAACTAAAAGAGTGAAACAAATCAGTTTAAGGTTTGATTTTATCTGTGATGTTGAATTGCACAGTTCAGATTCACAACAGTTCAATTCAAGACCTTGCTGGCGTGGAAGTTCTTTGCATGATGGTGTACATCCTCTTGAAACATGTCTGAATGGAGTTGTCAAAACAGCTTTCTAAAAGAAAGAAAACAACACCGTAGAAAAATAAGTCATAGTGGAGTAGTAGGAAGTTGTTATATATGTATTATCAATTGTTGGTGGTATTTATGAACATTTTCGTAAGTGAGAAACAGAAGTGACTGTTCTTATTATTGTTCCGGTGGGGAAGCATTGAAATTCATTGGTGAAAACAAAGCGACTTGATTCTTGTATTCAGATTGCAGAAACAGTGTTTTGTCATTTATGATATAACACTTTTTAACAGGAACATATTACCAAAAAATAGCATTAATAAAGTACAGATCTTCCACCCTATAATGCACCGAATTCTAGGGGATATCTTGCCTACAAAACTGTTGATCACAACAACTATTCTATAAACTTCTGTTCTTTTGAGTTCGTTTGCCTTCTTGATAGGTTGACTTCAGTATTAAAGACGAGTGAAGCTTCCACTGCACTCAAATAAACAGAACTGTCGATACCATATTAGTTTGTTTATTAGGTATATACCTAATAAACAAACTAATATGGAATTACTTACTACCACAGTGCCCAAGTTTTACACATATATTAATATGACTTAAGAACTGTCGATAATTGTTTCCTCCCCACCTTGACGCTTAGATTGTTCTTGGTAGTTAAAACTATAGAATAAGGTGAATTTTTCACAAATATTTTCAGACTTTTTTATGTTAGATTAGCATGTGCAGGATTTTTGCTGAATAAAATCAAAGAAATGTTTAAGCTACTTCGGGAATAACAATAGCCATTTTTAAGTCTACTAATATAACTTTTAAGGCGATACTAGTTGAATTAGAAACCACCTAAGCCAAAAATAGTTTCATGAGACAGTCATCTGAGGATTATTAAACACTCTCCTGTACCTGATTCATCCAAAGGATATTATTACTATTTCAATAAAAATATTTTCATTGTTTTAAACATACAATTCCTAATAGTTAATTCACTCTACCAATAATAGTAGAAGTAACTGTTGTAATCAGATCATTTGTATTCTCGAATGAAGATGTGAAGAAATGTATACCTAATTACTAAGTAATCACCAAACTATTTCTCAGTGTGATTATATATATATATATAGTCATTATTAGATGTGACCATGTATAGAGCAGGAGCCGTCACATGAACGAACTCCCTTTGTACCACTAGCGAATAAATGATTAGATCTGGAACTTGTAGTATACAGGGATCGCATTTTCCTCTTAACTTTGATAAAGACAGACATGTCAATATTATTAATTGACGGTTGTGTGGAATATTTAAACTAGTAATGGGTAAATCTTACGATGCAAGCTGGACAATTCGATTTCTTCGGCGTACTACTATCCACTTTTTCACAGCCAATACACGTATAACAGCTTATAGGTCCTGTAAGGTATAAAAATATCAAAATACTACTCAGTAAACTATTGTATAAAATATTCGTATTGATAAATGAATCAGGTATAAAGAGGAAACATTACGCTGTATCTTTAAAACCACCCCTCTTCTGCGTTCGGGAATAAAAGACAAACTGCCTAATTTCACCTCTTCCATGTGTATATACCAATTTAACTGCTCCTGTGGAGCCAGTTACATAGGCCGTACAATTAGGCGTGTTTCTCGTCGAATTTCCGAACATCACCCTGCCTGGTTGAGCAAAGGTCAAGCAAAATCTATTCGAAGCGCTATTATGGCGCATCTTGTGGAGACAGAACACAAGATTGACGTTAATCATGCTTTCAGGGTCATTTACCGCATACCTACGAATCTCAATTTCGCTTTAAGAGTTCGACTTCTAAATATTGCTGAGGCTGTGGGGATTCAAATTAATAAGCCTAATTTATGCACCCAGAAGAAGTTAGTTCAGTCATTATCATTACCTTGGCCATCCAGGTTTGAATAGTCCAGAATTTTTGTGAAATTTCCCTAATTTTATTTGATATTCTATTCGCTGTTATAACTTTATTATTATTATAATTTAAGCATCTTTAATGAACTGCAATAGCATTTATCATACTTTACAAATCCATATTATTTAAAAAAACGCTAATATCGTTATTAACTACTAATTTAAAATATTCTGTGTATATAAACATATATATAATTGTAGAGCCTAGAAGAGGAATTTATCGAAAAGAATATTCTTTGCTCGATTATTTTGTGTTTTATAGATGTCTGAATGAATATTTTTGCAATATTACAGTTATTGCCTATCTGTAGGGTTTCCTTTTCAATGGTAATTTTTACACTAATCTGAAAAATTGTCCAACTTGTTTATGAAACCCATGCGTGATCTTCTATTTACGGGCAAAAAGCAGAAGAGGCACAAAAACAATAGAATATCACCTTTCACCATGAGATGTATTCACAATGACATCTAACGCTTATTCTAAAGTTTTTCTTCATCCCATTTGATTCTCCCACCTAGCTTATAATGTATGACTCATTAGAACTGCACAACCCAGCTTTGCATAAAAATCCAATTTCTATATTTTTGGAAGATACCGAGAAATGTATCTCTACTCTACTCACTGATGTTCACATATCCATACTCAAAACTACATAGAATTATAATCGTAAACCTATTTCGTGTGTTAATTAAATCTTCGAGTATTGTAGTTTTGAATTTTGCTTACATTAACAAGATTTTAAGCTAATCTATAAACGAGTTAACAACGGAGAATTGAATTTCATTAAAATAAAATATAAAAATATATTTACCAACATTGACGACTTTGGACACTAGTGATCTCACTTGCTCTTTTAAATCATCGAAACTAACTGAAATAAAATAAGAAATTTAAAAATAACCTTCTTTTAAATGATGAATATTTGTCCCAAAATAAAAATAAAAATATTGAAATATTTAACATATTCTTTTACTCTTTCTCAGTTGTTTAAGCTTCCTATTTTTGTGTTTGACAGTAATTAGAAATATTTGCTTTTATTAAACTGCATATGTTTTGAGCATGCTTGATTCTTACCCAACATAAAATATTATAAACCTTCCTCAAAGATCATTTCATATATATGTCATAAAAATATTTAGTTCTGGAGTTTACAGAATTCACTGAATATATATATATTTCACATTTCTTACATTATTATTCATGTAACACAACTCAGTTATGGTGACACGCGTCAACTGAGACAATCTCTTTCTTTCCTTTCCTTGCTACATACTAAGTCAGTATGAAAGAGAATACCTACAAACTCACTCAGAGAGAGGACAAGCTCTGTAGGTTAAAGGACCCTGTCGGTTGACCCAATTAGACAAAATAATGATATAATTTACAAAATACCCTGCAATGACTCAGGTCATTTATATGAGTCAAACTAGTAGGTCGGAGACAGTCAGATTATCAGAACAAAAGGATTTAGTTACGGTGAGAACAGTTGACCCCAAGAAGATGAGTAATTTAGAAAAAAGCTCAGCAATCGTAGTGCATGCATCAAAACACAACCACACAATAGGTTGGGAGAGGATTAAGATTCTAAGAAGTAATATAGTTAGGTGGGTGGAGAGAGAAGTTGACTACTGAATCCTTGTTCTTCGAGTGTACACCCAACAAGCACAATAGGAAGTACTCGTCACTCATACCGGACATATGCAAAATACTACTATCAATCAAATAAAGCGATGGAAAATAATGAAAGTTAGGAAGTTGTGTGATTATATTAATAATAATTCGTAGATATTATGACTTCTTGTCTACCGTGACATGGATTCCATATTAGAGCTCATTTATATGCATCAACATGGATGTTTGGTTAACTGAGATCATTCAAGATAAAAATATCGTGGATTAATTGAAAACATCGATCTCTGTGGGAGTTTTACATCAAATGTATGCAGCATACAAATGTAGTACTTTTAAGTGGAGGAAGTTTCCACCACAGTTTTATTGCCCATGATCGTTAGTGTGATTGCATGTGAAATGTATATATATATAAATCAAATAAACTCAACAAGTGTGAAATGAAACACTCTATCGAAATATGATTATGCTTACCTGACTCCACTTGCAAGCTGATCACTAAAACCATGAATGCTAAAATAGCCAACATCACTAATAAGCGAATTTTATTTTGAAATTTGTTTTTGTCACTGTGATGATTATTTTGATACGTTTACCCTTATATACTTTCATACCCTTCTATTGATTTGTATATTGAGTGTCATCAAAATTGTAAACATCATGCAAATTGAAAATTGTTTGAGAATAACAATTCTTGAAAAGTTGTCGTTGGTGTACAGCTGACATTTTAAGTTTATAGATTTTCTATAGCAAAATTCGACTAAAAAGCTTGGATAATATAATACACAGTGACAAAAATGCTAGATGACAGATTTCAATTAAAAATGTGGACAAGTCACGGGAATTAATTAACGAAGATTACTGTCAGATTTCAAATAAAGTAAAGAACTTCAAAGAATAAGAACAAAGTTGTTTGAGTGGTGAATTGACAGACTTTAGAATCGATACGACAACAGATTCTGTCACAAACATGCAGTAATCAATAAGGTCTCCTCGGTTCTGTGTTCAGTATCCAGTAAATTCATGGGTACAAACTGATGAAGAGTCCCAAACTAGTACAAAATGACTCTCCAGTAGTCCATGGTTTTCACTGGTTCTCTAACTGATATCATTCCGTGATCAAGCGCAAAACCAACCAAATCTCTAAAAACTAAAATTTGAAACTTCCTAAGCAATCAAAGGCTTAGCTGTTACTGCTTTGGATTCATGACAACAACACAATTCAGTTAGTACGCTGAAGTATGTTCTTACGATGTCAATGTTCAAAAATCCTGACTACAAGTAAAAGTCAATTCTATCACAAAGTATTGAACAGGTGAACAAGAAATCATCAAGGTATATTGTATTTAGGGAAAAAAAAACTTATTTGTGTATGTCATTCCTCAATCAGCTGGAGAGTAATACTGAAGCTGAGGCGGCCTGTTTAAATCACTGGACTACCTTTACATTCTATCCATCAAAATACGTTTTATTTACTCAGTTTCATATTGTTTTAACTAACTGACTACCGCAATTAGTCGCAATCCATACTGGTGCACAATTCCATATCAGCTTTTGACGATCACTTGGGATATTTCAAAGGAAATGGAAGAACAACAGTGTGGAGTAGTACTGAAACATACTTCGGATAGAACGATATTTCTTCATATGACAGGTTATCGGTTATTATACTATTTGGAGATTCTATACAAGAAGTAAATACTATGCTATGAAAATCTCTCAGAATTCTCCAATATCTCTAAATTCACCGTTCAGAATAAAACTATTATTATTATTGAGGAAAATTCCTTTAAAATTGCGATCATCATTTAGGAAAACATTCTGCTGTTCATGTGACAACGTATATTCACCCAAATTTTTGGTGATGACTGGTTCTACCAGATCTCATCTGGTGGAGCCAGACGTCAGTAGAAAAGATCGTATGCTCGTACTACCAGGCATAGGATTCAACGATACCATATTTCGCCCGTGTTCTAAGTGATAGAGACAATGCAAAGCACGCAACTTATGGAATACTATGTTGTTAGCAAAATAATTGACCATTCATTATCTACTATTTGATGATGGCTTAATTTAACTGAACAATCTTAGCTACTAACCTTATAATCATTTACAATTTCTTTACGAGTTCATCACGGATCGATATCAGTTAGAGAACGATTCGAAACCAGCGAGTACTGGACAGCTGCTTCATCCTAGTTTGGGAATCATCGGCAGTACGCATCCATTGGGGCTCGAGCTCCCAGTTGCAAGGAAGGCTAGTATACTATTCAGCCGCTGGGACACGATTCAACAGTCCATGAATTCTAACTTCTACCAATTTGTGATTTAGCGTGACCCCAACCAATGTCGTCGGTAGAATATCCATCCTCACAAGTGACTGGATGGACCTCACTAGTCACTATTTCTCACTAGAACTCCAGGAAACTGCATTCTGTATACCAGCTTGCCTTGTAACCGGGAGGTCCTGGGTTCAAACCCCAGTGGGTGCGTACTGCCGATGATTCCCAAGCCAGGATGAAACAGCAGCTGTCCAGTACTCCCTGGTTTTCAATCGTTCTCTAACTAATATCAATCCGTGATCAACTCATAAAAACAAAACTAATCCTTACAAACCAATTATAGAAAATTTACAATTTTGTTTTGTATATATATGAATCTGCATATGACTTCACTGTCACTACAAATACTATATAAGAACTGTCATTACCAATCCCATGACATTATTCCTAATATTGTTGTTAAAGGTTATTCTCTATAATTGACTGGTAATCTTAACTAAAGACATTACTTTCATAATTTCACAATTTTGTTTATGATATTACTGTCACTACTGTTACCAAAACAGAAGTGTTATTAACAATCCTGTAATATTATGTTTATAATTTAAAAAAATTTTATTCCATAAAATAATATGCAATAATGTAATAAATGCTGGAAATTCCATACTTTAACAGCAGTACTGTTTCCGAATAAATAACAATATCATTATTATTAATTTATATATATACATATATATATATATATATAGATAGATAGATAGATAGATAGATAGATAGATAGATAGATAGATAGATAGATAGATAGATAGATAGATAGATGGATAGATAGATAGATAGATAGATAGATAGATAGATAGATAGATAGATAGATAGATAGATAGATAGATAGATAGATAGATAGATAGATAGATAGATAGTTAGATAGATAGATGGATAGATAGATAGATAGATAATAATACGCAGCACCAACAAACTGTCATTTACTTCATAAAATCTAATCCTGAACTATCAGAATCCCACTACTCTACCAATTTCATATTTTAATACCGTTCACAGTTGCTTATTGTTTTGAATAGCACGGAGGTTGATCTATAATGCATGCTGAGTGTATGTATATAAGTCATGTTGGCTATAATATATGGGAAGTTGACGTCAAACAGTAACCAGTCTGGTGACCATGCCCTCAGTTTCTTAAAAGAAAATCATCTATCAAGTGTGAAACATCATGCCTAGCAGGTGAATGATACGATACTGCTGAATAAGTCAATGAAATTACACTCACTCTTGGACATATTAACACCTATCAGCAATATGTATGTCAATAATTTGGAGGGGATACATGTTATCGTCATTATTCTAGTCTGTGTCACTCAATATTCATCTGCTTAAACATGAATGTTGATAATATAGATTGGTTACTGTCCATACGTGACATGGTGAAATATCACGAATAAACTTGTTTACGCTTTATGCTAATTGTTTTGATCAACTTCTCTATTTAAATCTCATCTGATACATAAATTTTGTTTGTCATACATCAACTGATGAATGCAGAGTAAATAAACAAAGGAATAATATCAGGTTTGTATTTGATTAAAGTGTGTCAACAACTCCTTAGGCTTAATATTACAAATATATTTTGCTGTTTTCTTATGCAAACAGACTATACAGATATAAAGTCATCGTGACTTTCACTTCTGTTTGAAAACATCAGCCATTAGACGTATATTTCTGCCATTAGAAGTCCTCCCTAGGCAGTAGCTTAAGAATGAATAAAAAAGAAACTTGCTATGCTTTATACGAGAAATTAGTCAAAACATCTTCATGGAAATTACCAAGGGTACACATAAAATACAGATGAGAGCTTATCTTCAACTGTTCTACGGGAATCAAAATTAACTACTTAGTACCTGATTATGTTTAAAAAACTGTAACTATCAAACATCGGAAAGAGGACAAATCGAAAAACTGATTGAATGTTTCAGGAATATATTCATATCCTAAGCTTTCATTCTAAGCAAAAATGTAATCGCTTTAATATCCGATTGCAATCACGACAAAATAAAATATACGCTATATCCGACCGATGATTCGCATCCAAACAGATTATCTATTACTCTCCTACTTGTTGGCCTACTTAAAACTGGGGCTACCGAAAACCTCCATTAATAAATTGCACATAATTTCTATTATTTGGTTTGTTTAAGTCTAGTAAAATGTGACCTCTAACAGTATTGTTTACTCGGATGAGTATATAATAATAATAGCTTTATTCCAAACAGTACAGCTATGGAATTTTCAGCGTGTATTACAATATTGCATCTAATTACCTCATAAATTTTATAAGATTTTAAAAATGAAAAGCAACAACAACAAGAAGAAAAATAAATAAATAAAAGAAGTAAAAAAGAACACCATTGCATTCACATATTTAAACAATGCACCCCAGGATATGAAATATAAAATTAGTGTGTAATAGAATATGTGAGCAGCAATGTAATAGTAACAAGGAAAGGAGAACAAAAGCTGATGGGAACTATTTGTTAGAGTGCCGCAGTAAGTTGATCGTGTCATACCTAACGGATTTCTCATCACATAACAGCTGTGCCAGATAAGGTATTGTGGAGTTTTGTACTTGGTAGTCCTGGAATATAGCCTCCTATAGTTGCTTCTAGTTCTACCAGATGAAATGCAAGGAGAGAGCTGCGTATAGAGAGAGGGTGTTCGGGGTCTGACAATATAGAATTCGCTAGTTTCTTACATGACATTATATGTCTATCCACAATGGTGTTAACCAGTTGGTGTAACGAAATCCCACTTTCCCTACTAACAGCTTTTAGTGCCCTATGCAGCGAAGCAAAGTCTTTCTTAAGTAGTCCAGGAAAGATTAATGGCGAGCAGTAAAGAGGGATGGTTAGAATACAAGAATTGACAAACTGAGAAAGCAAGGACTGCTTTATACCAGACTGCCTTAATTTCCTAACGTAGAACGTTAATCGAAACATCTCTCTAGTAACTGGTAAGATGTGAGAGGACCAGGAAAATCGGAGGAAATACTCAGTGCAAGGTACTTGACATTAGATGTAGTTTCAACCTTCTGATTCGCAATTTTCTACTAAACATGAGAAATATCATTGTACTAGGTAGCAATTTATTCCAATACACGAGGTGATCGATCCTGAGTGGTGTCCCTGTTTCATATAATGTACTTCTCACATTCATCAACAGAATGTCGTGTATTTCTCAAAGGAGAAAAAGAGAATAGATATCATAATGGTGGACTGGTTTGCCCTTCAGGTCAGA